GACCTCAAAGACATGTAATAATGTTTTGTTTAAACTGAATGTAATCTTGGAATGTCTGAAGACCACACCCAGAGAGCAGTAGAAGCTAGTGGCAACATCTTTATCAAAAGCCACATTTGGCAAGACATTGAAGACTTGTTTTGTACAGGTGAACTTATAGTAATGCTTTGTTCATTAACTGATATCTCAGTGTCTAGGAACATGACTTTGAAACAAAATTGGAAGCATTTTCGTCACTGATGAACGTGGTTCATGTGTGAAGGAGAACAAAGAGATTACGAGTACGCATGCACCATATTTCAAACAAAGAAAACTCAAGTGAGCATGCCTGGCTGATGTCATAAGGGAAGTACTTCTTTATGATGTCATAAAAGGAAGTCCTTCTTCACCCAAGGAGTGATTAACACATGGAATTCACTGCCACAGGAGGTGGCGGCGGCTACAAGCATGGACGGCTTCAAGAGGGAATTGTATAAACATATGGACCAGAGGTCCATCAGTGGCTATTCGCCACAAGGTATAGATAAGGACTCTGTGGCAAGTGATGCTCTGTCTTCTTGGTGCTTGCGGGGGGGGGTCAACAGTGGGAGGGCTTCTGGAGTTCTGGCCCCACTGGTGGACCTCCCGATGGCACCTGGTATTTTTGGCCACTGTGTGACAGAGTGTTGGACTGGATGGGCCACTGGCCTGATCCAGCATTGGCTTCTCTTATATTCTTATATGGAGCAGAGGCCTTTCAGTGGCTATGAGCCACAAGGTATAGATAGGAACTCTCAGTCTGGGGCAAGTGATGCTCTGTTTTTTTGGAGCTTGGGGGGGCAACAGTGGAAGGGCTTCTAGTGTCCTGGTCCCACTGGTGGACCTCCTGATGGCACCTGGTATTTTTGGCCACTCTGTGACACAGAGTATTAGACTGGATGGGCCGTTGGCCTGATCCAACATTGGCTTCTCTTTAATTCTTATATGGAGCAGAGGCCCATCAGTGGCTATTCGCCACAAGGTATAGATAGGGACTCTCGGTCTGGGGCAAGTGATGCTCTGTCTTGGTGCTTGGGGTGTGTGTGTGCAACAGTGGGAGGGTTTCTAGTGTCCTGGCCCCGCTGGTGGACCTCCTGAGGGCACCTGGTATTTCTGGCCACTGTGTGACCCAGAGTGTTGGACTGGATGGGCCATTGGCCTGATCCAACATTGGCTTCTCTTATGATCTTAAGGGGAGGTCTTAAGATGTCATAATGGGAGGATCATCAGAGGGTATAAAAGCTGTCACCCCGAGTTACTCAGTTGAGCTATTCAGCTTGGCACTGAGCTGAGAGGGTTCCCTTTATTAATAAAGCTATCTTTCCTCTTGCTACTCTGCCTTCTGTCTGTTGGCGTGACTTTTTGGCTCAAGCCATGCCAGTCTAAGAGCCCTTCAACCTTGGGGCATGGCTATCACTAGTAACTGGTGATGCTCATAATTGCTGTAAGGACACACCTCCAGCTCCATTGCTAGTTTATGGCTGTTGTTATTTCATTTTCATTGCAAATAAGGTGCTTCCTTTAAGTAGTGCTGTATTTAAATAATAGCATGGTGATTTCTAGAGCGGTCCAGGGGTTAGTTTTGACCTGTTTTTCTACTCTAAAACCCTGCCTGGCAAAATACATTCAATGGCTGGTCTTTGGCATTGCTGAGTTTGTGAGGCAAGATGAGGGATGTAGCCCTACAACCTCTGGGTTTACTGTAACGTCTTCGACATAATTGCTAATTCGTAGAAATTGCAGGCACACAAAACATATGCTTCATTCCCATTTCATTGGAAGACGTTCACATTCAGGGTCAAATTGAAGAGGATATGGGTACTTTGGCGTGGACTTCTCAGAGAGCAAAGTACAGGATTGAAAACTCTGGAATTCCTGGTGATTTGGGTTTGGAGCCTGAGGAGGGTGAGATTTGGGAAAGGGAGTATAATAGAGTAAAAAAAAGAGCTAGAGTCCAGTAGCACTTTAGAGACCAACAAGATTTGTGGCACTGCAGGGCTTTTTTTGTAGCAGGAACTCCTTTGCATATTAGGCCACACACCCCTGATGTATCCAGTCCTCCAAGAACTTACAGTAGCCCCTGTAAGAAGAGCTCTGTAAGCTCTTGGAGGATTGGCTACATTAGGGGTGTGTGGCCTAATATGCAAAGGAGTTCCTGCTACAAAAAGAGCTCTGTTAACAGTGGCAGGTTATGAACTTTTGTGAGTCATTGCTCACTTCTTCAGGTACCTGGTACCTGGTATCTAAAGAAGTGAGCAGGGACGCACAACAGCTCATACCTGTCACAAATTTTATTAGTCTTTAAGAGACCCAGTTTGACATACTGGTTGGGAGTGCGGACTCTAATCTGGGAGAACCAGGTTTGATTCCCCACTCCTCACATGTAGCTGCTGGTGTGACCTTGGGTCAGTGATGAGTCCTTCCAGAGCTGTTCTCACACGGGTAGTTTTCAAAAGAGCTCTCTCAGCCCCACTGACCTGGAGATGGTAAGCCACTCTGAGACTCCTTCGAGGAGTGAAGGGCGGGGTATAAATCCAATATCTTCTTCTTCTGCTACTACTGGACTCCTACTGTTTTCTACTGCTACAGACAGACTAACATGGCTACCCATCATAAGGCCATACGGTCCATAGTACAAAGTAGCCATTTTCTCCAGGGGAGCTGACCTCTAAAGCTTGGACATCAGTTATAACCCTCAGGCTGCACCTGGAGGTTGGCAGCTCTGGTTTTGTACCATCCTTAATGTCGTGATGATTACATATGAACTCTCCCCCCCCCCTCCATATTATGTTCTATGGAATCGCTGCATTTCTCTTGGCATTGCTGCAGAAGGGATGGTTAAGGTCCAAGGTGCATCTGAGGCTTTGGGCACCTGAATCAGGTGTTTCAAAGAAGGAGCCTGGGACCTACTTGAGACTGAAGGTGACAGAGAGGCTGGGACAAGTGAGAAGCTTTCGCATGAGAGGCCAGAGATGCATGCCTATTGCTCAAGAACAACAAAGTCCTAGCATTTGTGCAGTGTACACTCCGGGATCACAGGAATGTTCAGGCACAGAAGAGAAGAGTCATTCCTGGTGGCCCACAACCCTAGCTCGTCTCAGCTCAGTCCTGACCAATGCTCCCTCTAAGCTGTGAAGTCTTGTGAGCAAAAATTCTGCTTTGTGAGCTACTGGCATTAAAGTTGTGAGTGAGCAATTTGGCTGCTGCATAAATTCAGAGGACATTTCGGGGGGGAAAGCGGGAGAACGCAGTTCCCCCGGGTGAGGTGCAGGGGACGAAGCCCCGCCCCCTGCTTCCGGCCGCCCCGCTTCTGGCCCTCATTCAGCCAGGAGGAGGCAGGAGAAGAGGGAGGGTAAGTTGCTTCCTCCCTGCCTCTTCCCAACCCTGCCTGCCTGGGGCCAGGGAGGGCCTTGGCGGGGCTTCCTCGCACTCCCGCCGGCCTTGCAGGTCCACCGCCGGGCCCCTGATGTCAGGGGGTGTGGCATATGCTAATGAGTTATGCTAATGAGTTCCCCCAGCTTTTTTTCTACGAAATGACCCTTGCATAAATTACTTTGCTCTGGAGCCATCCTTCCTGAGCTAAGAACAAAAATTAAAAAAACTGTGAGCTAGCTCATACTGAGTCAGCTTAGAGGAAACACTAGTTCTGACACAATGCATTCATGAATGTACGGATAATTTTATGGAGCAGAAAATGGACCAATCAGCAGTGGAAAACATGGGAGGAGGAGGAGATTGGATTTATACCCCACCCTTCACTACCCAAACGTGTCTCAGAGCAGCTTACAAACTCCTTTCCCTTCCCCTCCCCACAACAGACACCCTGTGAGGTAGGTGGGGCTGAGAGAGCTCTTGACAGAAACTGCTCTTTTTTCAAGAACAGCTCTTATCAGAACTATGGCTTGCCCAAGGTCATCCAGCCAGGTGCAAGTGGAGGAGTGGGGAATCAAACCCGGTTCTCCCAGATTAGAGTCCGCGCACTTAACCACTACACCAAACTGGGAGAGCTGATTGGCAGAACTTTAAAGAGGAGAGCATCTAGTGCTTGAGGACAAGTTTTATTAAGAAACTCCCCACTCGTGGGGAGGGCGGCCTATAAATCAAATCAATCAATAAATAACAGAACCACAGGAATCTCAAGTTTGAGATTTGGTGTTACCATAAGAGTGATCCTGGGCATTAGAAAATCTGGAGAGATGCGGACATATTCCACCTATTCCCACACTCCAAGGCTCTGCAGTCGTCCCACACTGCACTTCTTTTTTGGTTCTAAAAAGAATTAGAGGGAGCTTCTTTTGAATGGCCAAGAACCACAACACACTTTTCCTTGGTCCCAACAAAATGGCTTTCTAGGTGAGACCAGCCAAGCTGGAACATTCCTGTTCAAGAAAACAAGGGCCTCAGTAACTGATGGAGGAAAATTTCCATTGGGTACCCTTCCTGCAACTAGGAAAAAAATGGCCCAGTTGTATATTGGAAGGCTTAGTTAGAATCATAGAATATTAGAGTTGGAAGGGACCTTGCAGGTCATCTAGTCCAAACCTTTGCACTCTGCAGGAGCATAGCTGAAAGATAGCCCTACATACCTACAACATATCCAAAAGATGGTCGCCCAGCCTCTGCTTGAAAACGTCAAGCGAAGGAGCATCCACCACCTCCCGAGGAAGACTGTTCTACTGCTTAACCACTCTTACAGTTAGGACGTTTCTCCTGATATTTAGCCGGTAACGACTCCCTTGTAATTTCCACCCATTAGATCTAGTCTTGCAATCCGGAGCAAGAGAGAATAGATCTGCTCCATCTTCTACATGACAGCCCTTCCAATATTTGAAGGCTTCAATCATGCCCCCTCTAAGCCTTCTCTTTCCCAGGCTAAACAGATGCAACTCTTTCAGCCTTTCCTCGTAAGACTTGGATCCCAACCCTCTCACCATCCTGGTTGCCCTCTTCTGGATACGCTTGAAGTTTCCAAGCTAGCTAACCTTGAAGCCATTAACCTGTTTCATGTCTGCCTGACTACAGATCATTATATGTTTGCAGTTTGAGTTTGAAGCTAGTTTTACACTTCGAGTAGAAGACGGTGTGTGGTAGGCCACATCTGACCATACTTCATCGCCATACTCCATCACCTAAATTCCATGGTCTCTGGGCACCCCTTGATTTCCTCTGAGCTGGCCAGCCAGAAGGGCAGAATTTTACTCAGCTTTTAGTCTGGGGGTACAGTTGCCAATCCCTGAATTATTATTATTTTTTAAAAAGAGGCAAAGTCTCATATCATTGGCCCCTTGTTTACCAGGCACAGAGGAACCAGAGCTGAGTGGTAGAACATCTCACACACACACCCAGGCAGAAGGGTGCCAAACACATCTCCATTTAAAAGGATCTCAGGTAACAAATTCTGGAAAAGAGCTTTCTGCCTGAGAGCTTCTGTGATCCAGGTAGACAGCACTGAATCTGAAGGGCCAGTCATCTCAGTTGGTAAAAGACAACATCATATGATCATATCTGAATGGAAATAGAGCTATGAAGGTGTTTTGTTATTATGCAATGAACACCAGAACACAGAAAATGTCCATGCTTGCAAGGTTTATTGTCCCCAGAGAAATGACAGTACAGTAGGAAAAGCAATTCTGGAAGAACTTCCATTCCCAGAAGATGAACACATTAGTTGTTAGATGGTGAGAAAGAACACATCATCCTCAAGCAGTGGATGCTTGCTTTTATGTTCTCACAGACTTATGTGCTGAACGTGATCTCTGGGCAGGGAAGGGAAGATGAAGAGTGAGTAGCTTAAGAAGGCGAGGGAGAGAGCATCACAACATCCTCAGATGGAAAGGACCAGCCGGGTTTTCCACAGATCTCAGAGGAAGGCTTGGACACTGGGGACTTGCTGGATTACTTAGCCGCAGCAGCCACCCCGGTTGTTTCCTCCACAGCAGTAGACCATGGGTTGACAACTTGGTTGACAACACCCACCGCAGCACGAATTGGGGAGGCAGATCACTCTCATTCCGTTGTTGTTAGACCCGCCGCCGCCGCAGTCGCAGTCGCAGTCGCAGCCGCCGCCACTATTACCGCTGTTGATCAGGATGAGCCTGCATCCTCCTCCTCCACCGCAGCAGTTCATGTTGAGGTTTCTTGAGGTGAACCTTGAAAAAGAATAACCCTTATTGGCAAATGCATTCTTTGCTAAAGGTTCAGAGAGCAATAGGGCATACATAACAGGAAACCAGGGGGCACTAAACAGGGGGACCGCTTTGGTTTTGCTGTCACCAAAGACAAAACACTGGGCCATTTCAGCCCCAAAATTATGACTGAATACTCTTCTTTTGTAGGCCCAAAGACAAAACAGTGGGCCATTTCAGCCCCAAAAGTATGACTGAATACTCTTCTTTTGTAGGCCCAAAGACAAAACAGTGGGCCATTTCAGCCCAAAAATTATGACTGAATACTCTTCTTTTGTAGGCCCAAAGACAAAACACTGGGCCATTTCAGCCCAAAAATTATGACTGAATACTCTTCTTTTGTAGGCCCAAAGACAAAACACTGGGCCATTTCAGCCCCAAAATTATGACTGAATACTCTTCTTTTGTAGGCCCAAAGACAAAACAGTGGGCCATTTCAGCCCAAAAATTATGACTGAATACTCTTCTTTTGTAGGCCCAAAGACAAAACAGTGGGCCATTTCAGCCCAAAAATTATGACTGAATACCCTTCTTTTGTAGGTCCCCCACAAAAAAATCTCATCAGAGGAAAAAAAACAACCCAAACCTATTATTTTCGGAAGGAAGTGAGTGCTTGAGCAGTTGTGGTGTAATGGGACCAGAACAGTTGTGGTGTTGGACCAGAACAGGGCAGACCAAAGTTCAAATCTGCTTACCGAACAGCACTGGACAAGCAACCGTCTCTCAGCCTAAGCTGTTCATAAGTCTGTTGTGTAACCTAAAACTCTGAAGAGACGGACTACGGATCTTGCCCTGAGATCTATGGAGGAGGGGCAAGAGTAAAATGTGATCTCTCGATTGAGAGGGGAAGCTAGAACCCGTCTCTTTGACTTCTAGGTTTCTCTGTGCAGGGGATTTTCTTTTTGTACAGAGGAGTGCCGACTGGTATGAGCCCTTATTCCTCATTCTGAAGTGGTTCTAGCCAGGCAGAAGTTAACCATGGAAAACTCACTTCCCATGTCTTTGTAAATGAGCACGGAAAGTATATGATTTTGAACAGAATGAGCTGTCGTCGGCCGGAAATCAGCATTCTACAATCTGTCTAGTTGTTTGTTTAAGTATGCTGTTTTATTAGCATTCTAAGGTGCCTTGAATATAGAAAGGTGAGGGGGGAAAGACCCCTAATAAACAAATAAAATCATTGTGTTAGAGATGAGTGCTAATCAGAACCTCCATGTCTGCAGGCAGTACAGCTCAGGTGCTAAATAAGAAATCTGTGGCTTCCGTGCTCAGTATGTGGTAGTCCAAGAGACATCTGGTTGGTCTTAGTTGGACCCCAGCAAGGCATCTTTTTAATGTTGTTAAAGGAAGTGGTGTGGGATTGAACCCCCTAAGAACTGTTCTATGCATTTTGAAAGTCTGCTACGTTCAAGGTTGAGTCCAAGGCTGTGATCGCACACAGTAAATTATCCCCTTTCAGTCCCCTTTTAATCCACTTTGAATGCACTTTCCAACTGGATTTTGCCCGTTCACACAGTAAAACCCAGTTGGAAAGTGCACCGGAAGTGGATTGAATGTGGATCGATCGCTTCTTTCAGAACCAGTAAGGATCTGACAATAAAGCAAGTAAAAGGTAAAGGTTCCCTTGCTCGAAAGCCAGTCGAGTCCGACTCTAGGGTTGCGGTGCTCATCTCCGTTTCAAAGCCGAAGAGCCAGCGCTGTCCGAAGACGTTTCCGTGGTCATGTGGCCGGCATGACTAAACACCAAGGCGCACAAAACGCTGTGACCTTCCCACTGAAGTGGTACCTATTTATCTACTTGCAAGTTCTTGCTTTCGAACGGCTAGGTTGGCAGGAGCTGGAACTAGAGACGGGAGCTCACTCCGTCATGCGGCAACCCGGGTCTCGAACTGCTGAACTACCGACCTTCCACAGCCTGCAGTTCAGCGTCTTAACCACTTGAGCTCCCAATATAGCAAAGGGAGCTTTGAATCTTGAAAGCCCCTACCCTGAGATCCCTGCTGGTCCCAAAGCTGTTACTGGACTCAGACCTAGCTGTTCTGCTGCAGACCAAACACCCTCTCAAACAGGAAGGATCTCCTCTGTCTAAAATTTCATATTGTCTTACATCCTTCCACATATTGCAGTGAAGCATCCCATTAAAGCCTATGGTTCCCAGCACCCCAGCATCAAGAGAGAGAGAGAGAAAAGGTGACTTACCAACTGTTCACAGATGGAAGAGGCAGTGAAGGCAAGCGAAGGCAAGCGAATGAAGAACCTGGTCTGCTGGGGCCTTTTTATACAGCTCCGACAGTCTGACCCCAGGAAATGAGACACCACCAGACAATTTCCTTATTCACCAACCAAATGCTTTTTTCCCTCCTCCGCCGGCATCTTCCAGTTGAAATTCCTTGACTCAATGGTCACATTTTTTGGTTGTTTTAATGGAGAGAGCCGCAAGATCCCGAGGATGACTATAATAATGATCCGGAAAATCCAGTATGAACACTAGAAGGCAGCAGTGCCCAGAGGACAATTGAGAAGGATTTCTGAACTCACAAGGATAATGACTATCGAGAGACATTGCTTGTGATGCATTCGGCGGAAGAATCTTTATTAAAAAGCAGGATCTGTAGCCGCTAGCTGCTTGTCTTTTCCTTATCTGTCGACTTTATTGACCTACTTGGTGGCCTCCAAAACTTATCGTTTATCTCCATAAAAACATAACAAACATCATTTGTGAGTCCTTTAATGCTCGAGACAAGATAGGTGCAGGTGGCGGTCTCGGCTGGTTGGATTTGCCAAAGGGTATCATGCGCATAAGTCACAAAAATGGAGGAAAAGTTGACTTCCAGTTCTGATCTCTATCCAATGGCAATCCCATCCTTCCAACTCACCCATTTTGCATGCTTACTCTCTTAGCTTCCTCTAAGATGCAAGTATAGACAGGCATCCTGGCCTCGAGACCCTAAATCCCCCAAATCTTTTACTTAAAGGTAAGGTTTCCCTTGCTCAAAAGCTAGTCGAATACGACTCTAGGGGTCGGTGCTCATCTCGGTTTCTCCATGGTCATGTGGCCAGCATGACTAGATGCCGAGGTGCACAGAATGCTGTTACCTTCCCATTGAAGCAGTACCTATTTGTCTACTTGCAACTTCTTGCTTTTGAACTTCTCAGTTGGCAGAAGCTGGGACCAGAGACGGGAGCTCACTCCATCACATTACACTAGGGTCTAGAACTGCCGAGCTACCGACCTTCCATTCTTCAGCTAAGCATCTTAACTACCGAGCCACCACGGCCCCAAATCTTCTACTTACTGGAATGATTTTATGGATCTGAACCAAAATGTATGTTATTCGAGGGACATGTAGAACCTGTTTACAAAATTTCACAAATATTAATCAGAGCTCTTTCTGATTATCTTATGGACTCGTTCCAAAAGGACGATCATTCGGTATAATCATAGCTCTTGTGCTGATCTACATCACCCTCTAAAGCAAAGGAGCCTCAATTCCTTCTTACCCCTGTAAAATAAAGATCAATCTAAGGCCTGTATTCACACTTACATCAGTGAAACAATCTCCTGACCATCCTTTTGGGAAATACAAATCAACTTACTGAGAGAGAAGGCCTTTTTTATTTAGCTATCTAGTAGCCTATCCTGAAACAGAATGCCAAATAATGATCCCTTTGGTGGTGGGAAGCCCCATCAAGTCACAGTTGACTTATGTCCACCCTGTAGAGTTTTCAAAGCAAGAGATCTTCAGAGCTAGTGCCATTGCCCACCTCTGCAGAGCGACCTAGGACTTCCTTGTTGGTCTCCCATACATGACTGGAGTGATATGGGTCCCTATGATGCACTCTAGCCAACATTTTGGCTCTAGCATTCTGTACCAGCTGAAGCTTCTGGACAGTCTTCAGAGTAGCCCCATGCAGATCACATTTAGTAATCTAATCTACATGTTACCAAAGTATGTGTCACAGTGGCAAGACAAGGGCCAACCATCCTTAGCTTCCAAGATCTGACAAGATCAAGCTAACCTGGGCTGTCCAAGTCAGAGCACAATCCCTTTGGACTTCAGCAAAGACTGTATAGCCTGGCTATTCCAGGAGGTCTTCTGCTGAAAGTTATTGCATAGAAGAAGACATCGAGATGATCATTCGACTGATAAAACCAGAAACTGCTTAGGTTTCATTCCATTATCATGGGATGAGGATGGCATGCATGACTGCATTTAAATGTGTGTACGTGATCCAAATATAGTATCTTTGACTCCATGTACAAACAAGTACTTTTTGGAGGCAAAGACAGCAATTTACACAATAAAAAACATTGACATTAGCAGCAAAAAATACCCCCTTCTAGGTAGTCTAACAGAAACTGGCTATATGAAGAAGAATGTACTGATATCCTTCATGTATGTTGAGAGCCAGTTTCGTGTAGCGGTTAAGTGCACGGACTAATCTGGGAGAACCGGGTTTGATTCCCCACTCCTCCACTTGCACCTGGTTGGATGACCTTGGGCAAGCCATAGTTCTGGCACAGCTGTTCTGGAAAAAGAGCAGTTTCTGTCAGAGCTCTCTCAGCCCCACAGGGTGTCTGTTGTGGGGAGGGGATGGGGAAGGAGTTTGTAAGCCGCTTTGAGACTCCCTTGGGTAGTGAAGGGAGGGGTATACAATCTCCTCCTCTCCCCCTCCTCCTCCTCTTCTTCTTCTTCTCCTTCTTCTTCTTCTTCTTCAGAAATGTATCCATGGAAGGGGGTAGGGTAGGGTAAGGGATGGATGGTTTGGTGCCTAGAAGCAGAAGACCACTGAGATTCGGGCAGCCTGGGAGGTTATAAAAATAAAGATAAGTAGAGGGTCCTGTGTGGCGTTAGACTCACTGAGGGGCAAAATGGGATATGAAGAGGGGGTGGAGGCAAAAGCCAAACACTTGTGCTGGGACTGTTGGGGAAAAGGGAGATGAAAGAATGCCTCAGGACAGAAGAACGAGATGGCAGACACAGAATCCAGAGAGCTATTCAGGAGGGTCATCAAAATGACTCAGGAACAAGACTGGGGGTGCTTCCAAAGAGACAGCTGTAGCAGGGACGGTTCAGGGAGAAAGATGAGTGGTTCAGTGGTTCAGGGAATGCATGATTAGGGAGGAGAGTCAGGAAGCTGTGGTTGGCATGGGAACGAGGTATGAGGGACAGGGAGTGTCAAAGCTCTCACTCAAGGCACTGCTTTGGGCTCGCCAGGAGAGGGTTCACTCTGTGGCAGCTGGGTAGAATGGGAGAAGAGCAGGACCGGTTGGGGAATGAATTGGAACAGCCACAGAGGAAGGAAAGAAGTCTGGGTTGCTAGCTAGGGCTAAGGGCAAGATGAGAGAACATAGAAAGAGAGAGGAAGTCGTGCTTTGCCTGCTCTCCTTGTGCGAGTGCCATTGTCTCAAGGAGGAAGACACGAGCACATGTTATAAAGAGACTTTAAGGAGTCCTCCCTCTTGAAACTTTATTTAACAGAGGAGGACTAATATTAAAGGTTGTACAATAGCTTTTGAGATTCTTGGAGATGATTTTTTTTTTAAAAAAGTTTATTTTTAACAAGTTTTTCAAAACATTACACATTTCATCATATTAGATTTTTCACATTTTTAGAGTTATCAGTCCATAATTTACGTCTTAATACTTTACAGAAGGTTAACCCCCCCCCCCCCATATTTCATGATTGTTCTCTTTGACGTTCTATCCGGTCATATACCCTAAAACACCTTTGTTGTTGGTATTTTTGGTCTTTATTTTTCAATATTTGACTCAAATTGTCCATTTGAGCTAAATCCATGAGTTTAATAACTAGGTCCTCTTTTGAGGGTAATTTATTTGTTTTCCAATTTCTCGCCACTAGTATACGTGCTGCAGCCACTATATATACTATCAGGTATTTATCTTGTTTTTTGAAACTTCTGGGAATTATATTCAATAAATATATCTCAGGCTTTAGTTCTATCTCTACATTCATTATTTCACAGATTCTTGGAGATGATTTTTGATATTTTTGATTAAGATGATTTATTATATATGTACAAATTATTGTAAAAATATTTTTCAAAAATATAAAATTATTTATGATGTGTTCTAATCATCTGTGCACGGTACTTGTTGTATGTTGATTGTCTCAAGTCCAGCAGAATGGTGGTAGAGGCAGTTATTTTGGGGAAACTGATCTGATACAAGGGGTTTTTTTAAACTCTGTTTTGCTTACTTTTTCGTTGAGTGGTTTGAGATGATGAAAAGGGGTTGCAACATCAAAGGTCACTTTTATACTGGACATAGCCTCTCTTTTGTTATTTAAATCAGGACTAGGCTTTTCTTCAGCATTTGTTGGTAAATCTTGATAGTCCACTGGCAGTTTATGACTGGCAGTTACAGCTATGTCGGCGCAGCGGATTCCGGTGCTCTTGGGGAGGGGAAAGAATAGCGGTGGGTCTAGGCAGAACATCAAGGGAAGGGCCCCGAGAAATAGGATGGCTCGGTGCCCTTCCAGCCTACGACCCATCCCAAGGGAGGTCAGCAGTGGGGCTCGGATGTGGAACCCCTCTCCATCATTGGTGTATTGTAACGCCAGGTCCATTAACAACAAGACGATAGTCCTTCGGGACTTCGTCATGGAACAACAAGCGGACCTGGCGTGCATAACTGAGACCTGGGTGCGGGATGGGAAGACTGTTGCTCTCTCCCAACTTGCCCCACCTGGGTTCTCGGTCATACACCAATCACGGACTAAGGGGCGGGGGGGAGGAGTGGCATTGTTCGTTCGGGAGGCTTACTCCTTCGGGGCCCTCCCCTCACCGGAGATCGAGGGCTTGGAGTGTGTGGGCCTGGTGCTGGAGACTGAGAACTTGGCTATCTGGCTAGTGTACCGACCGCCTAACGCACCGGTCAGTGGCCTGCCGTCCCTGCTCGAGGCCGTATCTGGCTGGGCGTTGGAGCACCCAAGGCTTTTGGTCTTGGGTGATTTCAACGTCCATGCTGATGATGCGGCCTCCAGCCAGGCCACGGACCTAGTATCTTCCATGGGGGCACTGGGGCTCTCCCAATGTGTATCGGTCCCCACGCACCAGGCCGGACACACGCTCAATCTGATCTTCGCTGCGGGGATTACAGTGGACCGGATTACTGCTACGGCAGTACCATGGTCGGACCACTACTCCCTGAAGGCCCGTCTGAACATCCCACCCCGACCCTGTTTAGGCGGCGAGCAGATTTTAGCTCGCCCGCGGAGCCAAATGGACCATG